TTGCAGTAATCATTATAAGAAAACTCCGCTGGGATATAAAATATTACATTCATATCTATAAAACCAAGAGACCATTGAAATACAAGCGCCTATTGGATGACGGATTTCTTTTTGATGGGTTCGTTGCCTACAACTCAAATGATAGGCATTGGATTATGTCCGAACTTATAGAAAAGCTAGAAAAGAAAAATAACTTCAAACTTTGTCTGCAGGAGAGAGATATCCTTCCAGGTGGAATTTTCGTGGACGACATCCATCATAATATTGAAGCTAGTCGTAAACTAATTTTGGTTTTGTCTGATAATTTTATGAGTGATCAGTGGTGTAGATATGAGACATTGATTGCAAACCTTACAGTAGTAGACGGTAAACCCGAAAAGGTACTTATTGTTCTCTTAGGAGAAATAAGTTCCCAGTATATGACAAATTCAATGAAAACTCTGATTAAATCAACTGTTAATCTAGAGTGGACGGAAAAAGAAAGCGGGAAAAAGTTGTTTTGGACAAGAATTCAGGCTGAAATGCATAAATAAACTATATTTTATATATATCGGGATTTCTATATATCCCAAAATAAATCCAAATCCCAAGCTAAAAATAAAAGATACTACTGAATCTGACATTCCTGTCTCTTATTTAAATATTTTACAAGAAAAACGCAATGACTTAGTAACTAACTAAATTTAAAGATGAACATAACTGCTCACAACTTGATTTATCTTCACCTTTACCCTTATCACTGCATATGGGGTTTATGTTTCTCAGCTGATCCAATACGCAAGAACAGCTCTATATACATACATACAATTTTTAAAATGAGACAAGCTATGGACAAACAAGTTAATGAACAAGAGTATCAACAGTCTCCTTTAAAGTTATCGTTTCGAAAGTACTACGATGGATTCAATCATCTTTACAGCAAATAAAGTACATCACTACTAGTATGTCGAATGCTGGCGTGTTTCATACTAATTGTTAGGTCATTTTTTTCCCGCGTTCCTGATCATGCACCAGACATTTTAAAGGTTTCTTGAGTTAAACCAAATTCAACAACATAAAAACTAAGAATATACATCACAAGATTTCGAACATACATCACAAGATTATAGAATATACATCACAAGATTTCGAACATACATCACAAGATTTCGAACATACATCACAAGATTATAGAATATACATCACAAGATTTCGAATATACATCACAAGACTTCGAACATGTACATCACAAGATTATAGAATATACATCACAAGATTTTGAACATACATCACAAGTTTATAGAATATACATCACAAGTTTTTGAATATATATCACAAGATATTGAACATGCATAACAAGATTTTGAATATACATCACAAGATTTTGAATATACATCACAAGATATTGAACATACATCACAAGATTTTGAATATACATCACAAGATTTCGAACATACATCACAAGATTTTGAATATACATCACAAGATTTCGAACATACATCACAAGATTTCGAATATACATCACAAGATTTTGAATATACATCACAAGATTATCGAATATAGCAACGTTTGACATGCCATATCATATACACAACAATTTATTTATATGTAGGACTCCAAAGTTCGATGGGACTCCAAAGTCCGATGGTCACGCAATTTAAATGGTGTTACAGGCCAAAGTTCGATGGTGCTGAAAGCAATTAACGTTTATGACGTCATAGTTCTACTGCGCAAAAATGCAATGCCGCGCCATGCCAAGGCCCGATTGTTTAAAATAAATACAAATAAATATTAAATGCAAAGACTAACCCTAATCTTTTGGATATAGGTGCGAGACTAACACTTATCAGTCGAAAAATGTATTACAACTATAAGCTAGATATCTCGGATCGGTGCAGGACTAACCCAAATCATTCCAATAGTGTGCGAGGACTAACCATAAAATCTCTCGGTTGAGTTCGAAGAAACACATTGGTGTTCAAGAACTAATCCTTATCAGTCGAATGGTGTACAAGGATTAACCCTAAAAGCTCTGATGGGCGAAAACAATCAGCAAAATCAGTAAAATTAGAGAGGTTTAGCAAGCTCACTTGTACCTGTACATGTACGTGTAAATTACAAGTTAGAATTACACGTACACGTTAAAATTTTTTTCTTGTTAAAAATTAGCAAAGTATATATAACCTCTACTTGTACTTGTAAGTTTTTAAATGTAAAAGTGGTTTACATTTAAAAATCATCCTCAAAAGCAATGATTTTAATACGTATATCACCGTTCTACATAAATATATGCATGTACTTATGAGAAAAAGATTGTAGAGAGTTCTTATAATTTAAATCGGTCAAAATCTGTTTCGAAAATCTAGATGTTGTAATTTTAACTCCCTATAAATTAATATTTTTCAATTACTGACGTTCAGTTCCTATATCAGTATTTGCATTAAATATTCAGGTTTCAGAAAACGCACACTTTTTGAAAAATAAACAGCAGTTAAAGAATTATAAGCTACAAGTTTTAACTTACGTGTACTTGGCAATGTACACGTAATTTGCGTAAGAAGATATGTATAGAAATTCGTCATTAGCAAAAGTGATGACGTAATGCACAGATTTCTGGTGCTACACGTACACGTACTCGTACACGTTGGTTTGCTAAACCTCTCTATTGTATGAGATACAAATACTAAATCAATGGATTTTGAATGCTTGACGTCATGACGTCGGACTATTGTGACGTCATAAACGTTGAGTGTTCTTTCGCACCATCGGACTTTGGCGCATCAGACCAACGCGCTTTAGCGCAACGTGTTTCATAGGAAACGAGCCATCGGACTTTGGCGTGACCATCGGCCGTTGGGGTCCGTAAACACAGCGAGCCATCGGGGTTTGACGCAGACCATCGGGGTTTGAAAAGACCATGGGACTTTGGTGTCACCATCTCACTTTGGAGTCTTACATATATAACAATAGTTATTTCCATTCTTATATTAGATTCGATATATCCCAGTGAGCAACGAAGCTTTATGATAACCGTGACGACTTCAACTTTTCAATCGTGAACTTCCCTCACGTAAACGAGTACAGTAATTTACCTTTGTCATCTGCATATGGCTATGTATCTCTCAGTTGGTTTGATACGAAAGAGCGTGTTTCAGTTGGTTCGATACGGAAGAGCGTGTTTAATGTACGAACACTTTCTAAAATGAGTTAAGTTATTGACAAACAAGTTAATGAAGCACGAATATCAACAATATCTTTTAAAATCATCATTAAATAAGTTCCATGGTCGATACAATGACCTTGTTAGCAAATACAACTATGAATTATCATTGATTCAAATGCTGACTGACTTATTCTATACTAATTTATTATCTATAAATTGAATTGACGACAGAAAAAAATTCCGATCATGACAAGGAGCACACGGAGGTATATTTCATGTTGCCTAGCGTTTGAATAAAGTTAAGCCAGAACCGTTTATTTCAAAATTGTTTAATACAATTAAATTTTTATAATATATTTCAAAAAGACAATTCAAAATGCAAATGTATACAATATTTTGATCAAAATCTTTTTATAAATGCATAAAGGAACAAGATTATTTTGCATGATATTTAATTTGCATGATTAATAAAATGATATTATTTAAGGACAGATGACACAAACAAAAAATGGATGCCTGGATTGGTATATATTTCTTGACCTAATTTCATTGTAAATGATGCAAATAATATTTTTCTAGAATATAAAGAAATTGTAAACCTTCTGTGATGTTCTGAAACCATCCTTATTATTCTATACAAATATTTTTCACTTCAAATTCCATTTCTGTGAAACTATGAATAAAAAATTAAAAAACTACGCGGTGAAACATTCATTTTATTCATTAAAACATGACCCAAGTTGTTATTTTCAAAATTTTTGACAAAAGTTTGTTTGTATCATCTGTCCTTAATTAATTTTACGATAATAAAATAATATTTATTTTCATTATAACGTTCCAAGATCAAATTTCATTTGCCTTGAAGGGAAAACGGGGGATTACCTGGATAGGAGTGTCCTTGCTTTGGTTCTGACCATGCAAATTATTAATTTACAATTAAGGACAGATGATATAAACAATTTTTTTCTTTGGAGGAATTTAATATCAGGCCACAGGTTAAGTACAGTGGATAAAATCAGTCTATGTGATTTTTATGATTTTTCCATCATTTTGCGTTTCTTTGTAAAATTTTCTTGGCTTGGTATATTTTTGTAAATGTATTACACTTTTAGCACCAAGCTAATCTGCTCTAAAATTTGTTTTCATCTGTAAACCTTTACTGAGTGTGATTTTTGTCCGTTATGTCCATATTTGTTATTTTATTGAGGAATTAAGTAATATTTCCAAATCTCTTTCATTTTCCAAGTCTAAGGAGAAAAAAACCCAAAGAATTATCCACTTTTCCAAACCTGTGAGATGATATTGAATCTCCTTCAAAGAAAAAAAAATGACCGAAATGTTTTCCAGTGTATATTATTTTGTACGCCGATTCAATTCTGTGGTTGTAGATGAGTCGAGCATATTTACTAATTTCATTTTATAACAAGTTTCCAGCTATAATTCTTCAACAGGAAACTGAGTTCCCTGACTTACTTCCCTGTTTACCCTCTTTGTATCTCAAATCAAAGAGTATTTAGGAAAGCATGGATATATATACCTATTTTAAGAAAGAGTTATGAATTTATTTTACAATTGTTAGTTATTGAAATTAGTAACAAACACATATTGGTACTACATGTATTTACACACAAGAAGAAGGATATAGAAATAACGAACAGTATTCAATCTCAAAGTCCATAAAGCAATACAAAATAGGAGCAGAGCAAACACGGATCTCCGAAACATCAGAGGTGGGATCAGGTGCCATGGATGAGTGAGCATCCCCTGCTGACCGGTCACACCCGCCGTTGCTTCTTGTCATGATCGGGAAATAACGGAAAAATCCGTCGTCAATTCAGTGTATAAATAATGGACTAACTATTAGTATGAAAAACGTCAGTCAGTATTTGACTTAATGATAAATTGTATTTGCTGACAAGGTCATTGTATCGACCATAGAACTTACGAAATGATGACTTTAAACGAGACTACTGATACTCTTGTTTCATAAACTTGCTTGTCAATAATTTACCTCATTTTACAAATTGTTCATACGTAGAACATGCTCTTGCGTATCGAATCAACTGAGATATATACACTCCGTATGCAGGTGATGAAGGTATATTGCTGCATAATATAAGTAAGGGAAGTTGACGATAGAAAAGTTGAAGTCATCACGTTTATCATATATTGGTTTTTAGATTACCATTAACGTCTTTTTAAGTAAAATGTACAAAAAACATAGGGTCCATGTCAAAAGAAATAAAACAAGTCTTAAAAAAATCAAGCTTAACAAATATGTCAATATGTCCAACACTAAGATAGTTACAGCATGGACTAAAAGTACAATATAAACACATTTAAAAACAAAATTAAAAAAAAAATAAAATAGAGAAGATTCAAAAGTTTGCA